ATACCGTTATTTAATTTTAAGAGAGAGAGAGAGAGAGAGATAAAGGTATGGGCAATGTATGTATACCAGGTTTGAAAAGCACAATAGCTTTAAGACAACTGCATTCTGTGCCGTCGGGTGACAATTGCCTGAATCGTCTCATAATCTCTTGTATGTACTGAATATCTGCGGCCATATTTGGACAGTCGGTGGCCTTAAAGTTAGTGATGGCTCGGGTTAGGTATGCGGGAGCGCCGGGCAGGGGTGACACCAGATCCAGTGTTACCGACCACTGGGCCATATTCAACAGAAACAGGTCTTTCCACGAGTCCTCCAATAGTGTTATCTATATTTATAAAATTTAGTTAAAACTTGTTGTCTCTAATGTTATTAATACAATGTAACAATTGTACCTGATCATTTTTAGTTAGAGTCCTATATGTGGGCAAACACTTGACCCAACGGATGACCATAAACAGTAGCCGTGCGGTCACTTCATGTACTGAATCCCAGTGACCGCCGGAACCGCCCGTCAGTGACAACGGCTTCGGCGGCGGAAACGATATGCCATTGAATGCGAGACTATTCCGTGCCGTCGACGCAGACATTGACTTGAGATCAGTGACCGTCACGTCGGGCGGTGTATGCGAGCCATTACTGGCGCTACCGCTGGCCGACGACACCGTCGACGGTGTGGTTGACTGCGAGGGCTGCGATAGAGCGCCGGTAGCCGTAGTGGTCGTCGCCAACGACATGGGAAGAGACACACCGCCAGTGCTGAACAGACCGCAGCCAATGCCGGCGCTGGTGGACAGGAATGGCGGCAAGAATAGGGAGCCGGCGGTACTGGTGGGCGGCAGTGACATGTCGTCAAACAGGCGGGACATACCGAATGGCAAAGCCGACGCTGTGGTGCCGGTGCCGTGCAAATGGCCCAATACAGCACCCGTGCGTATGCTATTCCAGATGAGTTCCTGTGACTTCTCGGCGTTCAACAGCATCTGTAACAGACCGGGCGGCGGACCCCCACCTGTCGCCGACGCCCCCGCAGTTGGGTTATTGTCATAGTAGGGGCCGCCGATACCAATAGGTCCGCACGTGTTTGCGTCAGTTTTGTTGGCACCGGCGCTGTGCTGATGGCTAAAGAGTCCGCTAAGTAAGTCCTGGTGCCGATCGCCGGCGCTCTGCGTGGATATCAAAGGAGGTATTTTGCTCATAATGTGGTGGTGTGTGTGCGGCGGCAACGGTGGGACTGGCGACTGGTGGTGGGCCTGTTGTACGCCGACGTGACCGCCGTTGCTGTGCTGGTGATGATGGCTGTTGTGGCCGTTGTTGGTGTTGGCGAGTGTGTGGTGTTGTTGCTGTTGGTGGTGGTGTTGGTGCTGATGGTGACGCTCTAAGGCGCTGATAGCTTTGGTGAGGGGCGACGATAGGGGTCCGATGCCGGGGCTGTGATGATGATGGTGGTGGTGCAACACCTTTAGTCCGGTGCCGTCACCGATGCTGTGATGGTCTCTGTATTTTGGTTTTCGCGGTCCCCTCTCGTGTTGAACAGCTATTTATTTAAACGATATGGTAATAAACATTACGTTTAATACATTAAGAATTTATACTAAATTATAGTAAATAGTATCGTATAGTGAAATGTTGTAATATTTAGTATTTTATATTTATTGCTAAAGCCTTTCAAAATATGCATTTATAAGCAGTCAAATATGTCATATAATATGCACTAAAAAGTGGCCAAATATGCACTCAAATATGCACTTATAATTCTGTTAATATACGATATAAACATTATTGCATATAATTTATAAACAAAATGACGAAATGTTGTGATGAAAATGGTCATTAGGCCTTAAAAATCATTTAAATATACTAAATTATAGATAAAATATAAATTAAAAATATATGGCATATTTTTAAATGCTGTAATAATTGACAGAACTTCAATATATAATACTTTAACATTAATATAAAATGTTAATAAAATAAATATTTGTTTTATGACTAAATATTTAGTCCAATAATACAATTAATTTTAAATTTTATAATAGATTAGATATTTTAGCTATGATTTTCTATCAAAACGATGCTTTTATGCAGTTATATGCATTTATGAGCCAAATATGCATTTATATGCAAAATAAAAGTTTGTCAAAACACCCCTTATTATGTGATTCGTTTGCCCCCAAAGTCCCAAACTTATATAACTAATCGGTAAAAACATGCATTTGCATGAAATGAAAGGCTTTATTTATTGCCAATAAATATTGAAAATAACTATTAAAACTATTTTGAAAAATAAAGCAACAAATAGATAACACTTTAATAAGAAATATTATAATATTTTAATTATAAAATTATTTGTTTCATGTTTACTACAAACGAGCTTATGGTGAAACGTGTAATTTACAAATAGCTTATAAATTAATGCACAGTTAACGAGATAGAGAGCTGACTACAGGAGCTAAACATAACATTAATGGTATGGTATGTTTTGCTATGAGACCGCCTCTCGCATCCCAGCGCTCACTGGTCTGTACACTATGTGTGCGCTGCCATTGAGTGCCATTTAGGGCGCACTTCTCATTGGCTTTTTACCCATACGTCTAATGCATTCATACGTTTACTATCGATTGGCTTTCGGGTAAAATGCTCTCTCTCTCTCTCTCTCTCTCTCCCTCTCTCAATGGTTAAGTAGCACTTGGCTCACACTCCAGGTCCTACACCGCCTGATATTTACACTAATAAATGGTGTGGAGTAACAGTTAAGGCCAACACTTAATCCAATAAGTTCTTCAATTTTATGTATGTTATGATCGGTATTGCAATCATATTTCGTGTCAATCGCTTTCCACTTATAGCTCTCTCTCTCTCTCTCTCTCTCTCTCTCTCTAGTCGTAAAGTTTACATAAGTTTTTGAGTTAAACCAATAAAACATTTTGTTTTTCTAATTCAATTCAATTGAACTATAATTTTGTGATAGAATCCAAAGAACACACAAAAGATAACAACAATTTTTTGCCGACAAAACCAAACGATTAAATGAAAAGAAAAAAAATTTTTCTTAAGAAATCAAAAAACAATATTACAGGAAATCCTCGTTAATAGAAACACATATAAAATGTTTAAAATACAAATTGTGTAGACATTTCATTGTAAAAATAACATTTTGATATACATTACATACTATAATTAAGTTAATCATACACTATTTATTTAAGGCATTTTAAAAATAATTTATGTAAATCTATAACAGAAAGTTATAACATCGCTATTTTTAACCACAATCAAAAGTCTGGCGTGTAACTAACGCGGTTTAAATGTTAGATAACCGTAGGCTTTAAAATAACAGCACATGTATTCACACATCACCTAATTCTCTCTCTCTCTCTCTCTCTCTCTCTCTC